CTCCACACCCTAGACCAGTGCTTCATCTCTGGATGGGTGTTACTTCTTCTCACCCATCCCCAGAATGCCAAGCGTCCACAATTTATAAAAGAAGGAGCCAGATAAATATGATTTTTAAGTCAGCCTTTTCCTCTGTCAGTCTACTTCGACCTTCACATGGCAGTCTCTGCTGGATTTCCATTAGGCTCCAGACCATGTCATTTTCAAAGATCTTTTGTAAAGCAGCTGTGCTATTATTCTGACAGAGCTCGATCACCTCTCCCCTCCCAGAGCTGGTAAAATGACCGATTTCCACCATCGTCCCAGCATGAAAGGCTGGGATGAGGAATGGCATGAGCTGGCTTCTTTTCCCTGTTGCATTAATCAGGTTCTCGGAGATGACATTTCTCTCTCTCTCTCTCTGGCAACAGCAGTTTGATTTCCAGGACTTAGCTCTATTCCTGTGGAGAACTGGACTAACATGCCTTATTCAAAAGGTCCAGCCAAGCTTCAAAAGTGCTTTGCATGAACTATTGAAATGCTTTTGTTGACAATATAACTTAATGGCACTGAAATTCTGTCACCATGTAATGCTTACAATGAGCAGGGCATACATATGTTTTATTCAAAGCACACATATCCATGCACATGTATCAATGAAGATGTCTTCAGCTATAAGCAACAGAACATTCCATTAATAGTGTCTTAAATCTAGAGGTGTCTGGGTGGCTCAGTCAGTTAAGCGTTAACTCTTGATTTCAGCTCAGGTCATGATCTCAGGGTAGTGAGATTGAGCCCCGTGTCGGGCTCCGAGCTGGGCATGGACCCTGCTTAAGATTCTCTCTCTGCCCTTCCCCACCCTGAAAAAATTTTTTAAAAAACTTAGTGTCTTAAATCTAAGGTGACCAACTGTCCCCATTTGCCTGGGACGGAGCAGTTTTCCAGGACATGGGAATTTCAGGGCTAAAGCTGGGACAGTTGCGGCAAAACAAGATGGTTGGTCACTCTACTTAAAGCATAAGGACACTTAATACTTACTTACCAAGAAGTCCAGATGCAGGTGATCTGAGCATCAGCAAGGTAGCTCTTTGCTCCTTTCTCCTTGCCACTCTCACCACAGTGACTGCAGAAGCATCAGGACTAGGAGGGGTGTAGCACTGGGGACTTGGATCATCTTTCCCAGGACCGCCCCCAAGCAGACTTCCTCTTCCATCCCGTTGGCCCGAAGTGGGTCTCATGGATACCTCTAGCTGCAAAGGGAGCCTGGAAAAGCAGATGTTCAGCAAAGGCAGATGGGATTGCCATCATTCTTGCTGCAGAATGAATTTTCCCCCCCAAAATTCATATGTTGAAGCCTTGATTTCCAATGTGATGATACTTGGGAGGTGGAGCCTATGGGAGTACTTAGGTCATGAGGGTGAAGCCCCCATGAATGGGATTACGGCCCTTATACAAGAGACCCCAAAGTGAGGATCTCTTTCTCCACCATGTGAAAATTTAGCAAGAAGGTGGCCATCTGCACACCAGGAAGGAGGCCCTCACCGGGAGCCGAATTGGCTGACATCTTGATCTTGGATTTCCTAGCCCTTCAGAACTGTGAGAAATCAATGTTCCTGGTTTAAGCCATACCATCTATGGTGTTTTTTTTATGGCTTTGGGCACGTTGCTTCATTTCCATTTCCTTGTCTGTAAAATGGGGATAAAAACAACTTTCTTAGAGGATGGCAATGAGGATTTAGATGAGTTTATGCATAGAAAGTGCTGAGACAGTGCCTGGCTCATAGTAAATGCTCAGTACATGGTGACTTTTTGTCTTTGAGGAAAAGAGCAGGATCGAATAGAGATTTTTATGAGGAACTGCATCATGACTCCCCATGAGAGCCTCCAAAAAATTCCACCTGACCTGTTAATGGTGGTGGATTTGAGTGTTTGGGAGAACTCAAAATCATACTGACTGCAGTTTCAAGATGGACAGAGAGTGAGGGCGAAGGCCTCCCAGGGCAAGCCCGCCACACTTGGGTTACAGAAAGGACAAAAGACTGGTGTGAACTACACGGAGACACTCGGAGTCGAATAGTAGCCTCTGGGTACACAGGAAGTCAAGGTCATGCATCATTTTAGATTCCTTTTTTCGTATCTGTTGGTGTTTTCCAAAAACTCTGCAGTGAACAGGGGTGTCCTCTACAATTAGACAAGAATTTATTTTGAAACTTTGATATAGAGGAATATAACCAATAAAGATGATTATTTTTAAAGTTGAACATGTTCCATTTGTCACATATTCTCTCAGCATCATTTTCTCTTTCTCTCCCTGCTTCTTTATTATAGCGAATAGTTTTACTAGATACCAATTACCAAGCACTTTACTCTGTGTGTCCCAGCACTTGACATGCAGAATAATCTTGGGCAGCAAGACTTAGTTATTATTCCCATCTTAAAAAGGAGGAAAGCAAGACTCAGAGAAGTTCAGTCGCTGGCGCGCGGGCCCCTTTGAAGGACAGCTATTGGGCTCCAGGGCTCTTGCTTCTGACCACTGTCTGTCTCTCTTTTGTCCCTTTCACCACCTTCTTCTTCTGTCTCTCGAACATTATCAGTCAGGTACCTGTCTAAATTCTGTGGTTGTAAGCTATGATTTTTCAGCATGAGCAGGACTGACATTCGGACCAGATTGTTCTCCACCAAGGCGCTGTCCTGTGCACTGTGGGACATTTAGCAACATCCCTGGACTCTACACAGTAGATGCCGGTGGCAATCCCCACACGCGCCCCGTTGTCACAATCCACGTCTCCAGATGTCGCCAAATATCCCCAGAGACCAGGATCATCCTCATTGGAGCCACGGATGGAGGCTGATCTCTGCAGTCGATGTGGCAAAGGATTCTGGAGCCCCTCCAGTTGAATGATCGCCGATTGGAGCCCACGGGAACAGGCTGTGCCCTCCTGGCAAGCCCCCAAGCTCACTTGAGGCAGCTTCCACCTGCTAGGACATTTCAGGGCAGGGCCTGACAAATGTTTGGGGGGGGCCTCTGGCAACAGGGAGATGATTCTGTGGTTTGTCCCAAAAGCTGGGAGCTAGGATCAGAAGGGGTGATAACGGGCGATTCTCAGCCAGCAAAGGGCAGGGGGGGCCCAAGCTGGTCTGTGGATGGCGCTTCTGAATGGGGGCAGCAGATCCTTGGAAGGAGGTAGGAAGATCAGTCGACTCAGAGGATTCATTTCTAGTGCTTGTCCTGTTCCCATTTGCCATCTGGATTCAGTCGAGTCCTTTGAGAACATGAATGCTCCCCTCTCTCTCTTCCTGGGATAGGAGGATGATGTGTCCAAACTGTCCCCTCTATCGCCCCCCACCCCTCGTTTTACTCTTCTTCAGCACATGTGATGTTCTGTTGTATTTGTGCTCACCCTCTGTCACCCCACCTAAATTTCGGCTCCCCGGGGCAGAGGAGGCTGCTGCATGCTTGGAGCCTGGCAGAATGAAGGCAAATACCCTCCACGCCCCATGGGAAAGCGATTTGAAAATATGTCTCAACAGCTGTAGCCACGTCAAGCCCGTTGTACTCAGGGGCGCCACTTCTGAGAATCCACAGCCCCCACTCCAAGTCATCCAACTTGAAGAAAAAGCCTTATATGAATCTGTGTGTAGACAACAGTGGCTCAAATGACACCCCAAAAAGCGCAACCTGAAAACCCCACATAAGTAATCAAGATAAGGGGTAATTAAAGCAGCCCTGATAAATACACTCGGTGAAATTCCAGATATCCAGTACACATATCATTTACAACAGTATGAGTTAATATTATAGCAGATCTACAAAACTGTAATGCATGATGCAAGACTGTCTGGGCAGCCCGATGACTGAGATTATAGGAGTGAGCATCCTTGCACACAGTTGGCAGGAATATCACGCACCATCCATCTGGAGGGCAATTTCGAAGTTCCTAATTAAAATGCAGTGTTGGTGTACCTGAGTGGCTCAGTTGGTTGAACTTCCGACTCTTGGTTTCAGCTCAGGTCATGACCTCGGGGTCCTGGGACCAAGCCCCGCATTGGGCTCCTCGCTCAGCTCGGAATCTGCTGGAAATTCTCTCTCCCATTCCCTCTGCCCCTCCCCACTGTGAGTGTGCATGCATGTGCACTCTCTCTCAAATAAATAAATAAATCTTTAAAAAAAAAAAAAAGGTAAAATGCAAGTGTTCATGTCACTTGACCCAGTGATTGAATTTCTAGGGATTAATTTTTCTAGGAATTGATGTATTTCTAGGAATTTATCCTAGAAACAACCCAGATGTCTGTGCTTAGGGGAATGGTTAAATAAATCACCATGTAAAATACAGTAGAATACTATGTAGCCATTAAAAACGAGAAGGTGTGCATGTACTGACATGGAGACAGGCTCAAGGTATATCATTAAGTTAAAAAAATTGCAAAATGTTTTTGTGTAATAGCAATGATGTCATAACTTATAGTATAAACATGAACATTTTAAAAAATCTGGAGGAATATACACCAAAGTGTTGACATTATTTTTTTTCTAAAGGACTGAGGGAGATTTTCTCTACATTGTAAATTTCCATAATGTTTAACATTTTTTAACATAGCTGCTAAGAGAAAACACTGAGCCTGCAGCCTGAGCTCACTCATATGAGCAAACAGAAGTGAGGACGTGAAAACCAAAAGCAATTCCATCAAGGGTTCATTAACAGTGACCAGTCATTTCTAAGTAGTAGGATAATAGGCACTTTCTGTTTTTTTTTTTTATTTTTTCTTTATAAAGCTTTTATTTATTTACGTAATCTCTACACCCCATGTGGGGCTCGAACTCACAACCCTGAGATCAAGAGTCACGAAAGCTCTTCCCACTGAGCCAGCCAGGAGCCCCTGTTTCTCTTATTTTGAGGGAGAACCTGAAGGAAGAGTGTGTGTGGTCCTTACAAAGGACATCATCCTCCCCAAACCCTTTGTTTAACCTGAGTGATGCTCAGGGTATAGAATGTTCTGTCAATGTAACCTGCTGTGGGATGGTGTCCTGTCTCCCCAGGATGGACGACATCCAGCTCTGCAACGACATTATGGACCTTAAGCAGGAGCTACAGAACTTGGTCGCCATCCCAGGTAAGCATATGGGACTCCAGCCTAGCTAAGGAGCCGCCCAGAGCCGCCCAGAGCCGCCTGGGCCGGCCCCATCTGTACCCCTTAGGGCTGGAAGACAGAGTTCATCTCTTATCCTAGCACAGCCCCATTCTTGCAATGCAGCACTCCATGTCAGGTAGACTGGCTTCAAGTCCTCATTCTGGCCCCTTCCTTGACCTTGGGAAAGTCACTTTATCTGGCACTCAATTTCCCGTCCTCTGAAAATGGGGTAGTACCAGTCACAGCACTTAACTCGTTGGGTATAAATCTCATTGTGATACACTGAACTTGGGCTTAGCTTCACATCTGGTCCAAAATGAAGAGTCCAGTAAGTATTAATGATTATTACTATTACTATTCTGTTTGGAGACGGGTAGAGTATGGGGGTTACAAGCTCTGACTTCGGAGTGCAACCTAGATCTGTTGATTATTAATGACATGACCTGGAGCAACTTACTCCACCAAAACTCAGTTTCCTCACCTGTCAACTGGGACAATAATGGTATCTACCTCGTAGGGTCGTTGTGGGATTGACTGAGGGAAAAATATGTACGGTGCTAGGCACAGTTGCCATCCTTTAGTAAGTGCTTAAGAAATTATTACTGTAGTTCTTGTCATTAACTGAACAAGTTTCTACCCACCCTTATATTTATATACTAATTCATTTTAACATGGCAGTAGCAAACCTATTACCTTTTAACCTAAGTTCCTTTTTATGAACCATAATTATCTTTTGTAAACCCACAAATATTTAATGAGAAAAGTGGCATGTTAAAAAAATTTTTATGAAATCTATTTTACATCTCGTTTAAGATATTGCCTTATCTGCTTTGGTAGGTATTGGGTTGGAAGATATTGTTTTTGCTTCAAGTATGTGGAATAAAGCCAGATACAGACACACAGACACACACACACACACACACACACACACACACACACAATTTCTACCCATCCTTCAGGTCCTAATATATGTGGCCCCTTTTCCCAAGAGAGCCTTCCCTGCCCATCTAGGTTGGGTTAGGCGCAGGAATGAGGGCCTGGCAGGTGCTAAGGGAAGGTGTATTGGGTGCAGCAACACAACTGTGTCTCAAGAACCTTGCCTTGGGGGATGCCTGGGTGGCTCAGTTGGTTAAGCGTCTGACATGGTTTCAGCTCAGGTCATGATCTCAGGGTCGTGAGATCAAGCCCCATGTGGGGCTCCATGTTCAGCGGGGAGTCTGCTCAGGATTCTCTCCCTCTGCCCTTCCCCCCATCCCACTCACACACACTCAATCTCTCTCTCTCTCTCAAAAAAAGAGAGTGCGTTGTAGAACAGGGCACTGTTCTAATGCCTTCTCACTAGGAACATGTAGGGCTGGGCTATTCTTTGTTGGGGCCGGTGGGGGGCCCATCCTGAGCACTGTAGGATGCTTAGCAGCACCCCTGGCCCCTACCCACTAGATGCCCGTAGCACCTCCCCCACAGCTGTGACAACCAAAAATGTCTCCAGGTGTTGCCAAATATACGCTGGTAGGGGGGTGCAAATTGCTACCTAAGAGCCCCTACTTTATATTTTTATTTTTTTTTAAAGATTTTAGTTACTCATTTGACAGAGAGAGCACAAGCAGGGGGAGCTGCAGGCAGAGGGAGAAGTAGGCTCCCCACGGAGCAGAGAGCCCAATGATGCGAGGTTCCATCCCAGGATCCTGGGATCATGACCTGAGCCAAAGGCAGACGCTTAAGCGACTGAGCCACCCAGGTGCCCCAAGAACCCCTCCTTTAGAGTCCAGTGACCTGGCTTTGAATCCAGGCTGGCCAAACAGGTGGCCTTCATGTAGCAACTTAATTTCTCCGAGCCTTAAATTCCTTGTTTGCAAAATGAGGCCAATAATGCCAGCCTCCCATGGTTGTTGTGCAGATGCCATGAGGTGGGAGATGCAAACCGTGGGAGCACTCGGTACAGTGTGTGCGGGGCTAGCGGATCCTTCAGACACCACTGCTCCACCGAGTACTCACCAGGTGCCAGGCACCATGTGGGCGGACAGCACACGGGTACAGGGTTTCTCTTGGAGGTGATCAAACTGTTCTAGGATTGATTGTGGTCATGGTTGCATGACTCGATGGGGGACTCGTAATGGTATGTGAATTATATCTTGAGAACACTTTTACCATAGAAAGTCAACAGCCAAAGAAGGGAGCAAAAAGAGCAATGTCCAGACATCACCCACTAGAAAGTCTATTCAGTGAGTGTGGAGTTCTGGCACGGGTCACTTTTTAAAGCCTCGTGTGACCGTGAGGAGCAGCCAGGGTGAAGAGCCAGCCTGTGGGGATGGCCGGTTCTGTTGTCGCATTTCGTATCCCACCAAGAACTAGTTTCAAAGGTATAAAAATCACCGCCCCCTCCCCGCAATGGCAGCACCAAATGGGCAATTACTGGAAGGATGGGGGAGGCTTCTGGAGCCCTGGGCCATTGTATGAGCTCCCTATGGATGCCCTAACAAATTCCCTCAAACTCAGCGGCATCAAACAACATAAATTGGTTCTCTCTCAGTTCTGGAGGCTGGAAGTCTGGAACCCAGGTGTCAGCTGGGCCCTGCTCCCTCCAGAGGCTCTAGAGGAGAATCCTTCCTTACCTCTTCCTGCTCCTGGTGGCTGCCGGCAGTCCTTGGTGCTCCTTGGCTTGCAGCTGACTTGCTCCAATCTCTGCTTCTCTCATCCCATGGCTTCTTCCCTATACATCTATGCATCTTCTCCCCTTCTCACAGGACAGCTGTCATTGGATTTACACTCACCGTAGTGAATATGACCTCATCTCCACTAATTACATCTGCAAAGATCCTATTTCCAAACAGGGTAGACATGACATTTTTCGGGGGAGGGGGATACTACTCAACCCAATACCGGCCTGAAGCTCAACCCAACCTCACAAGGGTTCGGAACCAGAGACAGGAAAGCTGTTGGAATACTCCTTCCCTCTCTGTCTCTCTTTCATTCTCTCTCTCCTGTTTTGGAAGAGCCAAACAAGCCCACTCCATCTCCCTCCCATGATCTTCTCACACAAAAACCCAACTCTTCTATGTTTAGCAGAACTCGTAGAACACGCAGATTAGCATATCATATCCTTCCCGTAAACAGATCCTCCTAGTTCAGTAAGACCCCTTGTCACACATCACATGCTTGAGAAACAGTGATAAAGATTTATGATTATCCCGAAGGACCAATAAAGGCGGGAGCAAAGAAGAGCAAAGGGTCTTCATCTCTGAGCGTTGATCCCCTTGCCTTCTCCTCTCTTTCACAGTAAAAACAAACAAACAAACCAAAACAAAACAAAAACCCCAACTCTTAGGGCCTCTATGTCCTAATTTTCAGCCTCCAAGGAGAGCTCTGATGGGCCAAACATGGGTTGATTTCTGAGATCACTTTTGGCTCAGCAGAACACGTGGGAGCTGCTGAGGCAAAGGAGACATGGGTGTGTGACCACTGAACCAGCCAGGACCACCTCAGGCCACAGGGGCTCCAGTCGGGGCTGTGGCAGCCTCTAGAACACAGGTGGAAATGGATGGGAGCAGGGTTCTTTGGCTGACATAGTCCCTGGGGTGCCTGACTGACCAGAACCAGGACTATGGTGAGAAAGACAAGGTACTCAGCTAGAACACCAAAAAATTCAGTAAGCAGGACAAATAATGTATTAATGCAATATTTAAAATACCAAAATAGGGGCACCTGGGTGGCTCAGTTGGTTGAGTGTCTATCTTGTGATTTTGGCTCAGGTCATGATCTCAGGGTCATGGGATCAAGCTGCAAGTCGGGCTCCATACTCAGTGGGGAGTCTGCTTGGGATTCTCTCTCCCTCTGCCCCTCACCCTACCCACATGCACTCTCTCTGTCAGTCTCTAAAATAAAATAAATAAATCTTTAAAAAATTTTTAAAAATACCAAAACACACACACACACACACACAATCCATGATAAATAAAATACCAAAAATTTAAATTAAGACAAGACCAGTACCCATACTCAGTAGGCAGAGTCCAAGGATGCCAAAACCTACAGTGCAGGGGAATCCCACATGAAGATCGAATTCTGCCTGAAATGTCATTGACTATGTGGCTAAGAACCATGGGTTGACAAGGTCACGGGACCAGTTAGCAATAGAGCTCAGGTCCTTAATGCTGGTCCCCTTGATTCTCCCAGGAAATCAAGTTTTCCCAGTGACCTTTGTGCAGAAATTCACATATTAAAATTTTCTTTCTTCTTCTGCTTTCCTACTCACCTCTCCCTACCTTCTCCTTGGACTCCTTGTTGAATCTTTCTGTGTATTCCTGGACCAGGGTCAGGTGTCTAGATGGATTCAGCTGAGCGTGGGGGGTTGGGGGGTGGGAGGGAGAAACAGTGCTCCTGGCAACACATCAATAAAGGTATTAAAGAAAGAGATCACTGAATGGCCAAGAAATTCATGCCTCTCCAGCCAGGGTCAGAAGATCATTCACCAGCTCCCCGGTGGTGGGTGCAGATGTCTGGCTGGAGAGAATGCCTGGGGCCTTGTCTGCCTTGAGGGCTCCTCTGGGACAAGCCAAGATGTGTCATCTCACCTCCACTGCCCCTACCACTACCTCAGAACTGTGGATGCATAGCCCCAGCTAGAGAGGCCATGGCACTTTCCCCTTGGACATAAAAATAGTGTCTCCCTCATAGGGTTGTTAAAAAGGACTAAACTTGTGGTTCTCAACCAGGGGTGATTTTGCCCCCCACCCAGGGGACACTGGGCAATGTCCAGAGACATTTTTGGTTGTCACACCTGTGGTGGTGGGGATCCTGCTAAACACCATAGAGTGTACAGGACGGCCTTTGCAACTAAGAATGATCCAGTCTCGAATGTCAGCGGTGCCAAGGTTGAGAAACAGAGATTAAATGAAAGTGACGAGCTCATGGGAATACGAATATAATAGCTGCAATTTATGAAGCACTTCTCATTTGCACACTTATGCTATGAGATTTGCTTTTTATTCATTAACTAAGTATTTCTTCTGTACTTGATTCAGTAAATATTTAAGAGGCGAGCATTTAATCATTAAAACAACAATGATGATGTAAAATGATAGCTTACAATAGGAGCAGCTGACAGTTCATGAGCCCTTACTACATACAGGCAGTGAGCCTACTATTTTCCTTGGTTTCTCTCTCTTAAAATTTGCAGCAACTTCATGATTATCTATGTTGAGAGATTGGATGCCTGGAGAGGTTGAGGAACATGCCCAGAGTCACATACCTAGGGAGAGGAGAAGCTAGGGTGTGAAGGCAGGATTGTCTGATTCTACAGTGGGTGCTCACAGTCATGTTGGGGTGACAGGCCAGGGAGTCCAGTTAGGAGGGCACACATGGTCCAGGAAGAGATGGCCTGTGCTAAGGAGGTGTGCTGGAGGAGATGAGAAGCAAGTTGGAGAGTCACGTTGGTAAGCACGTGGAGATGCTAGGAATCAGGTGTGTATTGCCAACAAGCAGGGGGTGAAGCTGGCAAGCTGGCAATTCTCATTGGCAAGTAGGTGGATGATGTTGGCAAGCAAAAGGATCACATCACCAAGCAAGGGGTGGTGCCTGCCTGTGGGTGGGTGGTGCCTGGAGGCAGCTAGAAGATGCCTGGGGGCAGGTGGGGGTGCCTAGAGGCAGATGAGTGGTGCCTGGAGGCAGGTGGTTGATGCCTGGAGGCAGGTGGTTGATGCCTGGAGGCAGGTGGGTGATGCCTGAGGCAGGTGGATGGTGCCTAGAGGCAGTTGAGTGGTGCCTGGAGGCCAGTGGGTGGTACCTGGAGGCCGGTGGGTGGTGCCTGGAGGCCGGTGGGTGGTGCCTGGAGGCTGGTGGGTGGTGCCTGCAGACAAGTCGCCCCACACTTTTTATCTTCTGAAGGGGTCGGAGCAGAGGGAGCCGAAGCAGGTTCAAGTTTCTGCCCTCCTCCTTTTCTCAGTCATCATCTCCAGCCCTGGGTCTTTTTTTTTCTCTTTGGCCTTCCAGCCCTTGGTATCTGGGACAGGACAAGAGCCATCAGCATGGATGATTTCCTGGCTGTAGAGTAACTCCCCCAGCACCCCTGCCTGAGCCCTCCAAGCCCCTTGCCTTCTGCATGATCCCCTTGTTTCATCATTCCCACTTCCTTAGTACCTGCCACTGGGCCAGCTCTGGGCTAAGCCATATACTAACGCCACTGCCTTTAAGCCCCACCAGTGTCTTTATAGGAAAGGAAACTGAGCCTTGAAGAGGTCACCCAGCGAGTGACCTGGCAGAGCCAGGAACCCAACCCTGGCCCCTGGACTCACGTGCTTCCAGCAGTTACACTCGACTGTTTCTTTGCTGGTGTTTTCTTCTTCCCAGAAAAAGAAAAGACCAAGCCGCAGAAGCAGAGAGAAGATGAGCTAATACAGAAGATCCACAAGCTGGTGCAGAAGAGAGACTTTCTGGTGGATGATGCAGAGGTCGAGCGGCTAAGGTGAGTGGGCTCCCGTCCCCGTGGTGCTAGAACGCAGTCCTTGGCGTCCTCCCAACCCCATCTTCTGCTGCAGGGACTCACGGCCTGGCCTGACAGGTGTGGCCTCGGCAAATGCTCCCACACACTGGATCCAATTGAACCCCCAGCCTCTTGGCCTGAGGATCTGTTGCACATTCCAAGGGAACTGGAATCCAGCTCCAAAAAGTCTCGCAAAGACCTGTTCTTAAGTAAATGTTATTCAAGGAGGTGACTGGGGAGGAATTACATCACATGACACATGGTAGAGCGTCCTACACATTCTCTTCCCTGACCTTTCTCCCAAGGCAAACTGTTCATCAAGGCCACTTCCAGAAACTTCTGTGGGTTTCTGCAGAAACCCTGCCCCCTGAACTGACTTGCTTCCTTGCCTGCCCTCTCCACTTCCCGGTTTTGTGCTCTTCCCCCTCGCCCCTCCCCACCTTGGTGGCTCCAGCACCCCTCCCTATCCCTCAGGGTCTCCTATTTGCAGATGCACCTACCACTTGATCTGGACAACCACCGGCCCTGGAGCCACAGGGCACCTGCTCATAGGAAGATGCGGATGTTGATTCTTGAGTATTTTTGTCCTGGAGCCAGGCCTTTGGAGCCCCCCACAAGGAAAGAGGCTCACAGGGCTTCTTCCAACCCAGAAGGCATCTAGCTCTTTATTGTCTGTGTCTTCCTGGGTCCTCTGAAGGCTGGAATGCTCCTCGCCTGGCTCAGCCAGGCTGGGCCCGCTAACTTTGTTCCTGATGACCCTTGGAAGAGTTCAGGTGACTTGCTCTCTGACACTTGCCACATACCTCATGGGAGCTCAGATGTGTAAGGTGACTTAAGGGCACAGGGTTAGGGGGGTGTTACTCAGCTCACTGAACTCCCCCCCAGAGGCTGGGTCCTAGCATGGCCCTGCCTCTGTCCCAGGATCTCACCCTGGCCCTGGAGAGACAGTTACTCCATTGTTGATACGTGTCTGTGCTTCAGAGCAAGTTCATCAAATGCAACATGCACACGCCATCCACACATAACACACAACAACATACACACACCACCCACAAAGAACACAGAACATATATTTCCCATCCACACGTAACACGCAGCATACGTGTACCAGCCACACATAATACACAATACTCACACCAGCCGCACATAACACACAAAAGCATACCCACACCAGCCACAGAGCCTGATTCATGGCCCCACACACTTAACCTCTGGCCCCATTTCCTCAGTTCCTTGATGCTTTCCTTGTTTACTCTACTTCTCTCTTGTTTTTACACACCTGTCTTCACAGGGAGCAAGAAGAAGACAAGGAAATGGCGGATTTCCTGAGAATCAAGTTAAAACCTCTAGATAAAGTAACCAAATCTCCAGCCAGTGAGTGCATTCCTCCTCCTTCCCCCATCCAGGAGAAAAGGAAATTTAAAAGAGGTCCGAGAGCCAGAGTGGGGACAACAAAATGCTTTCTAGAGATCAGACTTGGGCACACGATGGCAGCAGCTGGGGCCAGCTTCATGGGCATGCCACCAGGGAAGCTGCCCAGGCCCTGATGCCCAGAAGGGCACTGTGCTTGCTTTCATGTTCTGCTATTGCTGTCTTGAGGTTCTTAATAGTTTTGGAACAAGTGGCCCTGCATTTTCATTTTGCCCTGGGTTCGGCAGACTGTGTAGCTGGTCCTGGCAGCAGCTGTCCCTTAACAATCACAGGTTTGGTGGATTTCTTAGGAGATGCGTGGCCACTGAGGCAAAAAGGTGGGGGCTGAGGCTCAGGGAACTCCAACCTCTGTTGATAATCAGAGTGAAAAGGGTTCTGTGTGAAACAAGTTTGGGAAATGCTACGTATTTGACCCTCTGTTTGGTGCCAATGTCTATTAGCCTATAAAAGTGATAACAGGTCCTGCTTCTCTTTGTCGACCCAGTGAGGCTCCTTTTAGTTACAGGAAACAGATACCCAATTCAAATTTGCAATAGCAAAAAGGGGGATTTGTTGGAAGAAGAGCAACAGGAACCAGCTTTGGGGACTGGACACTGTTAGAATGCCCTTGTTTTCCTTCCGTTTCTATTTCTGCCCCTCTTTGTATGTGAGTTTCATTTTCTCCTACTACACAGGCCTTCTTCATGGGGCCTGAACTCCAGAACCATAACTTAGCAGCAGCAAGACAACACCATACATTCTCTCTCCTTGTATCCAAACACATCAATCTCAGGGGAATATTCTGATTGGCCCTTCTCAGATCATGTTCCCACCCCCTAGGCCATCACCATCATCAAGAGGCTGGGGTACTATGATTGGCCAGATCTGCGTTGCAAGCCTACTCCTCTAGCCACAGGGACATTGGCTGTTATCAGAGTGAAGGGACTGGGAATCTTGCTAGGAAGACAAAACTCAAAAGGCTGCCACCATCTACTATGGCCACAAACTCAGTTTTCCCTGACCATCTATTAACATCCCGTGAAATGTGGGGTAGAGTGCAAGGGAATAAAGAAAGAAGGTACCTTCTGCAGGCCCCTAATATCACAAGGCACATGGTCCTTGCCTAAATCCTGCATTCTCAGTGGACTGTCTCTTCCATGAAAGGTCAGTTAGAAAAACTCCACTTAACAGTGTGGGGAAGGGGCAAGGAAACTTGCCTTTTATGCAGGGTTATGGATAGCAAAAAGTCATCTGTCAAGAAATCAAAACACCAAGTCTGTACCCCATGCAAGGGGCCAAGTGTCCAAATTTACCCTAATCATCTAGTGCTGGGATCTAAAATTGAAAAATTAAAACTAATATAAAGCCACTGAAATCTCAGACCCCAGCAAAGCAAATGCAAAACTGCTCAGTGGGGAATCTTCTGCATCCCATAATATGTAACCCACAAATAAAACAACCTCCATGAAAATGAGCTGTCGATAAAAATTTTAAACCCATAAGAACTGAACCACCATGAGTGGAGTCAGTAGATGCCACAAAGAGAATGTCCTCCCAAGAACCAGAGATAACTGACTATCTAAAAGAGACAATAAACTAAGTATATTTAAAATGATGAAAGAGAGAAGGGATAAAACCCAAAATGAAATAGCAGGATACCATGAGAAAATAATTGGTAGATTTGCAAACAATTAGGTTTCTAAAAAAAGTATTGTCACAGAAGTAAAAACTCATAGATTAAACAGAGCTGAAAGGAGAATTCATAAATTGGAAGACAGAGCAGAGGAAATTAACCAGCATGTACCACAAAGAGACAAAGAGATGGAAATGTCTTCCAAAACATGGAAGATAGAATAAGAAAGTCCAACTTACTTCTAATAGGCATTCTGGAAGGAGTGATAACAGAAAACAAGTGTTGGAGGAATCAGAAAAGATAATGTATGATCATAAGACATGAAGCCCCATGTTAAAGTGACAAAATTTCCCATTTATCCATTCACCAAATACTTTTGAGTGCCAGACCTTGTGCCAGGCTTGGCAAATACAACCACGAAGAGAACTGAATAGGATAAGAGCTAAAGGTTGTGACTGGAAGCTGAGGACTGAGAGCCAGTGGGTGGGAACAGTCATTGGAACCATATAAAACACATGCCAGTGCTGCACCCAACCTGATCTGTGGAGTTGGAGCAAGACCTGACTAGGGGCTGGGATGGGACAGGGGCTGCCAATGGTCAGGGCTCTCCTTATATCACCTCTTCCTCTCTCCCTTTTCCCCTCTCTCCCTCCATGCTCCTATCCTGCTGCAGGCTCCCGAGCAGAGAAGAAAGCAGAGCCCCCACCTAGCAAGCCCACAGTGGCCAAGACTGGGCTGGCACTCATCAAGGATTGCTGCGGGGCCACCCAGTGCAATATCATGTAGCCTCCCACGTGGGGTGCCCCCAGGGCCACGGGGACCCCCCCCCACCCTCTTGTCTTCATAGCCCCCATTTCACCGGGGCCCAAGAGCTCTCCAAGGCGGAAGGGGTTGAAGGCTAGCCTGTGACTGCCGCCAGGGGCCGTGGGCGTGGCGGGCGGGCCCGGCCGCCCTGTACAGAGTGTAGCAATAGGGAGTCCCTCACTGTCGCATGGCCCCCCCCAGAGCATGCCAAACCCAGGAGTCTGTCTCACTGTTTATCCAACCACCAGGAAAGGTCCTCCCTTGAAAACGTTTATCTCCACTTCTAGCTATCTATCTTTATCTAACCCACTGTGCGAATGAACTGGGAGAGGGGCATGATCCCCAGGTGTGTATAGTCGTGACTTTTCAACAATCTAGCACCATGTTGGACACATCCCCCACCCACCCTTCTAGCTCTGCTATCAGGCCTGCCCCAGATGGGCACAGCTCCTGTCCCCCGTCTGTCCTCTCCCAGGGGCTGTGCTCTGGAGGGCTCCACACAGCCCATGCATCTTGGAGACACGAGGGCCCATCTGTAAAGACTGAGCTTACGTGTGGTGTTGTGGTTACGTCTCCTGCTTCCTCCCCTCCTGTGTCTGGGCACAGTTCACATCAGAAGTGTGTCCATTCGCTCTTGGCTCTTCCTTCCCTTGCAATGTCTGCCCCAGGTGTGTGGAGCACAGCGGGGATGAGGGCCTGGGCTGGGGCACAACCAGTGCTCAGAAGAGGTAGCGGAGAGCTGGAGGCTCCAACACCAGGCATGGGCAGATGAGAAGGGGACCCAGAGCAGATGCTGGTTCAGGCGCTCTCCACCCACTGTGGTCCACTGGAGGGAGTGCCAGCAGGACACCACTCACCAGCTTAACACACAGACCTCCGGAAACAGCAGTGGCGGGCGGGAGAGGTGGCCTGACCCAACCGTGTCCCATCGTTTGGTGGTGTATTTTAATCAGCCTAATAATTCCACCTGTGTAACTTGATGTACATTTGCTACAGCCAGCTCGGCACAGCCCGTGTGACCTCTCTGTACATGTGTGTGTCGTGACCGGCCTAACGTAGTTCGTGTAACTCAAGATTCGCTGATGTGCAATCATCCATCAGAGAAAATAAAAATGGAAACCATGTACACAGCATTTTTAACGTTTTTTTTTTTTTTTTTTACTTTTTTCTTGATTATGGAAGTCATCCATGTACCCAGTAAACCTTTTAAAAGTTAGAAAGTATAAAGAAGTTTCTTGTTTTCTGTTTGTATCTCCCACAAATTTTCCAACTCGAGACCACACTGCCCTTTTGGCAGATTTCCTTTCACGTGTTTTTTTTTCCCCACAATCAGCATCATATTGTACCATTTTATAACCAGTTTTTTTCATTGAGCGTTATATCACTATCATTTTCCCACATCATTAAGAGCTCTTTGTAACATTAAACACTTCACAAATATCTGCGATGGCTGCTTAGTAATCCATCTTGTGGCTATGCCATAATCTATCTAACTAACCCTTTCCTTACTATCGGACATTTAGGCTGTTTTTACTTTTTCAGTATTATCAAGAATGTCACAGTACCTGGGTGGCTCAGTTGGTTGGGTGTACGGCTCTTGGATTTTGGCTCAGGTCATGATCCTGGGGTTCTGGGATTGAGCCCCACATCGGGCTCCATTCTCAGTGCAGAGTCTGATTGTCTTTCTCCCTCTGCTCCTCCTGTGCTCATGCTTTCTCAAATAAATAAAATCTTGGAAAAAAAAAAAAAAAGAATGTCAAAATAAATACCATGGGGGACAGAGCTTTATCTGAATTTCTGATTTTTCCTTAAGATAAAAATAAAGTTCTTAGGGTCACCTTTTTCAAAAATATTTGTAAGTCAAAAGTGAATCTGAAGGTCTTTCAAGTCACACCAGCTTTGCAGTTGACACAAAGTATTTCTGACTGAGGACCCTGGAGCCTTGGGTTCCATGGCCCCCCCAGTGGGCAGCACACCCTCAATCCCTCCCACTGTCTCAGATGTATTTGTGCCTCAGTCTGAGCTTTGGCCTGCACATCACTTCCTGCCACTCTGAAGCAGAAGAGGCTGTCTTTGGCCACTGTCTGTGCCACCACACTGGCCTTAGGGGACCCCATGGCCTCCTTCTCTACCCTAGACCAAGCATGAAGCCAGAGTCTGGGAGCTTTCCAGGACACTCCCATAACATGGTACTTCAACCAGGGTGGCTTAAAACAACATAAATGTACCCTCTCACAGTTCCAGAGGCCAGAGGTCTGAAATCAAGGTGTTGGCAGAGCCATGCTCCCTCTGGAGGCTCTAGGGAAGAATTCTTCACTGCTTCCAGCTGCTGGTGGCTCCTGGCAACCCTTGGCATTCCTTGGCTTCATCACCCCAGTTTCCACTTCTGTCTTCGCATGATTTTGTCCTGTGTGTGTCTGTGTCCTATCCTCTTCTTATAAGGTGCACCTTAAACCCACCATGCTTTCCTGTAGATCCTTAGCTTAATGACTTCTGCAAAGACCCTATTTCCAAATAAGGTCACATCCTAAGATAGCAAGTAGACATGAATTTTGGCGGGGGGAGGGGAACGCTCTTCAAGCCACTCCACGGATGCTTCCCACTCTTGCAATAAAAACCCAGGCTGCAAAGGGGCTGCCACTCTTCTTTCTTTGTAGAAAACATGGGTCTGGAAGGCTTGACCTCAGACCAATTAGAGAGCAGTCACTCACTGATCCAATGAGCCAAAGGAGATCGAAACCCTCATAAAAATCCTGCCTCTAGTACATACCCTGAGCCCTGGGGTACACCTAATTTATGTTCCTGCTAATTCTACTGATTCGTTTTAAACAAACAAAAATCCCCACCATTTATTCAGGCTTTCACACAAGAACAGAAAAAAGTAATAATTCAAGATGTTCCCGGATCACTAGGGCTGCCATCAAAGCCAGGAAAACTTGCAGACCCAGACTCACTCATTTTGGAAGCTGGAGCAGAAAAGATACAACAGGAGAAACATTTACTGAGAGCCACGTGTGCATTTTCTCTGTAGCTCCTCACATCAACACCAGAGGCATATGTTCTCATCACTTCCACCGTACAGGTGAAGTTTTCCCAAGTCCTTTGAGCAACGCCCTATGGGTTGTTGTTGGTGGAATCATCATTAATCTATCCCTTCTCCTGTAGTCTCAAAAGGTCTTTCTTTCCCCATCAGAACTGAAACAAATCTCTCCCATTACTAACCAACCAACCAACTAGCACTCCATTCCATCTTCCCCTGCAGCCACCATCTCTCTGTCCATCTTCATGGCTTTACATGTTGAGAATTGTCCGCCATCTTGCTGTCTTCATTCCCCATCTCTAGTGCCATCCTCACCCTATTTAAATCTGGTTTCTGTCACTCTTTTATCCCTGACCCCTCTGACTGGGGATGTCATCATGTGGTTATGTAGGGAAGGAAAAATTCTTTTCTTTACCCATCTCATGTCTTCCAGCTGGAGTCCTTTCAGTGAGATGGGCCAAAGACAGAAGACCAAGAGAAAAACAAGTACATGTGGGAGCACTGGGCAATGAACAACCCAAAGAGGTCCTTAGAACTTGAACCCACATACCATCTGAACTAAAAGGAAAAGGGGTTTTGGGCTTCCAATAGGGTAGCAAGTTCTGGGAAGAGGGCCAGAAGAAGTATGGTAAACAAGAGTTGTGTGGTTAGGTTTGTTATGCAGATGTAAGACCTGCCTTCTCCACTGATGAGACTTCTCCTCCTGGTGTGGGAGAGAGAGACATCTTTTATGAATGGAAATTTCCTTTATAAAGGGGAGATTGCGTTTATAAAAGGAGAGCTTTCTCTGCACTTGTTGGTTCTCAAGGGCCTTTAGCTCGGAAATAATCCATATGCCAAAGGGGCATTCCTTGTGGTGGCATATTCTGGCACCCCACATTTACATCCCACCCACACAGTCAACCCTCACACTAGCTCTGTGGGGTGTTATGGCCCAGGTATGACACTGCCAACATGCCCCATCTCGAGGCGAACCTCCCACCACCCAGTAGGACCTCTCTCCAGTCTCCATTCTCTCTTCCTTGACCTCAGGGCCTGGCCCTCAGCATTCTGTTCTTCCCCACTCCTGGCCGTAGAAGGCCTTTGCACCCGGACTGCTCCTGGATTCCCTCCTTCACCTAGAATAGACCTTTCTCCTGTACTCAGACCCACTTCCCCGACTGCTTCCTAGACTCTCCATTTGGAACCAGAGAAGGCACATCAAATGTGACATATCCTAAACCAGGGGCCAGTGAACGGTCCCATCACCCGTTTATTGTAAATTGAGTTTTGTTGGCAGGTAACCAAGAGCATTTGTGTATATATTGTCTCCGGCTGCTTTGGGGGCTACAACAGCAGAGTTGAATACTTGTGACAGAGACCCCATGGCTGGCAAATCCTAAAATATTTACGCTGGCCCTTTAAGAAAAAGTTGGCCAACCCCCATCCTAAACTGCCTCAGCTTCCCCTGCAGTTTCCCATCTCACAAAAGATTATCCTAGGATGTGACCTCGGCTCGTTTATTCCTCCACACATCCACCCAATTGCCAAGTCTTTAGCTTTAGGAAACCAAGTTTCCCTAGAGTCTGTGCACACGACCACACCCTCAGGGTAACCACCATTACCTTTTGCTCTGAACCAGCCTCCTTAGCACCTGGTCACGGTCCACACAGTGGCCAGCTGCTTTTCTGAATAACACAAACCTAGTTGTCATTCCCCTCTTCAAAACGGTGCCTACACCTTTCGGTTGAAATCCAGAGTCTCTCGTGTGGATGAAAAGGCACTCTGGACCTGGCCCCTCCCTACATCCCTGGCCCCATGGCATCCGCTCGCCTCATTTTGGGGGGCACCGAAGCTTTCTTGGGATTTTATGGTTCTTCTGGCTATGCGGTCTGTTGGCCCCTCTCCTGGGCCCTCATACATTATCCCCTGTGCCAAGAACTTCTCGGATTGCCTGCCAATTCTTTCTCTGATCTACCTGTACACCCCGCTGAAGCCAAAGTGACCTTCCTAATGTGCAGATCTGGCCGGTTTCCAGCTCTCCTGCACCTGCCCCCCACCCTCATGGTCAAGTCCTGGGGCTGGGGCCTGGTGAGTTAGCACCTCCAGGGCCTTCCCCACCTCCTTCCTCCCTGTTCCTCGGGCTTCTCACCCTTGCTCACACCATTGTTTAAGGGAGCAAACAGGAGGAGCAGCTGGGGAGGAAGAAGGAACACCTGGTGGTGTCAAGGAGCGGGGGTGTTCTGCAGCATCCAACTTGACCCAGACATCATGGGGCCTTCAAAACTTTGTGAAAAGGGCCCAGGGGACATTGCAATAGGATGGGGTTGGTGTGAGCAGTTTCAGCAAGGTGCTGGCCCAGCAGCCAGATGCATCAGGCAGGAGAGTGGCCCCTCACCCACTGTTCCATCGCAGTGGGGGGGAGGTCATCACTTCCATGTGGCAGCTGGGGAAACTGAGGCTCAGCAAGGGGCAGTGATTAGCCCAAGTTCACACAGCATGTCCGTGGCAGAGCTGGGACCTGAGTCTGAGAGCAGGGTGCCAGTCGGGCTCAGTGTGTTTATTTCTCATTTCTAAGCCCAGCAGCCTCACACCCCATTCCCGGTTGAGCTGTCCTCGAATGGAGGTGAGCCTTGGCCACGCCCGCAGCAGCTGAGCCTCTTCTAAACCTCTCTGCTCCGTGGCAGCCGGGCAGCCCTGAGCTGTGGGAATGCACCAGCTCAGCTCCAATACAGCTTGAGAAGAAGCAGTTAGAATGGGCCCACTGCCAGCAGCAAGGCTCGGATACCTGCCACCAACCACAGGACAGCTGGGTGGGCGTCCTGCGCTGGGGCAAGACACACAGGGAAGCTAGTTGAGGAACAAAGGTCAGGTCATTTTTCCATCCGTTCCTGTGTTTAATTCCGCCAGGGAATGGAGCACATGGTGGGTACCAGGGAACACAGATGAACCAGACAGGGAGGTTCCCGCCTTCCTGCAACTTACCTTCTAGTGAGAGAGATGGACATCCAACAGGAGCGAGGTGGGGGGAAGGAGGGGAGGCCTCCTCAATGGCAGTAAATCCGAACAAAACCCACTGACCAGCAGGATTAGCAAAAGGGAAAGCCATCTAGAAGGTGATGAAGGGCTTCGGCTTGGAGTCAGCCTGCCTGGGTGAAAATCCCAGCTGAACCTCTCCCTGGGTGAGCCTGGGAGATCTCTGCCCCTCTGTGCACCTCAGTGTCCAGACCTGTAAGACGGAGAGAACACTGGGGCATTAACGAGACATCAGCTGTGCGGGATGGGCTTAGAACAATGCACATGGTAGAAAACGCACTTAGAAGAGCGGGTTATTATTGGCCACAGCTGAAGGGAAGAAGCTGAGGGATCAGAAGGCTGCTCAAGCCTTGCTATGGTTCTGGAAGGCCTGGGGCGGAGAGGGTGAGTGACACCCGCTGGGTCCTCCCTTCGTGAAGCCGACAGTGAGCAGACACGTGAACAGGCTGCAGTGACAAAAGTTACTGTAACCTGAATGTCAGTTGGAGTCCACTGCACATGCTTCCCCAAGGTGTCCGCACCTTCCCGGGGGCTTACGGCCGCCCCACCCCAGGTCACACATGACCGGACTGCGCCCCCACTAGCTCTGCACACCCCTCACATCCCTTTCCACAGCTGTCCCCTCCTTTCTCCTGCCAAGTCCGACGTGGAACTCACCTCCTTTCCTCAATCAACTCACCACAGAAACCAAGCTGCCCGAAGCCTCGGGACAGGAAGCCGACCTTCCCAAATGTGTATGGAGGTGGATGTGGGTTCACATCATAGCCACACACACCAGTGAAGATCGACTGCTCCTATTCCCACCAGCTTTGCTACCAGCCGCCAAAGGGCTCACCTCTGTCCCCGGGCCTCCTCGTGAGCAATTACCCTCCCACTTTATTGGAACAATGCAGCTCCCTCCAGCCTTCATGCTAGCCTGACTCCAGGCCCCAGGGCCCACGCTCCCCACCAAGGTTTATTTCTCTACTGATAAGGTGGTTCATTGCCCCTCCGCCCACAGGAAGGGCAGCTGCGGTGGGTTTGGGTTTTGATGAACGGTTGTGGACTTTTTGTCCCACTGGGATGGTGGTAAGCACAGAGGCCGCGGGAGCGTGGGAGGGGGCAGCTACTGGACTCTGGGGTTCAGGGATGGCCCTAAAGGAGAACAAACTTCAGCAGCGAGATGCAGCACGGAGAAGAGTTGGAGGAGATGAGGCTGGGGTGGGGACAGGAGTCCACGGGAGGCTGTCAGGAACTCTCAGTGGCCCCCTCTGTCCCCCTATTCCCCCTACCCCCCATGTGGAGCTGGAGCTCTGCAGTGGGATGCTCTGGTCATAAGTAACCAAAATTGAAGCCAAAGAGGCCAAAACATCAGAGCATTTCCTGGTTCCCGGGCCGAGGTGTGGGGTACCCTTGAGTCCAGTGGTTCAAGCACTGTCACCTGGACTCCGTGTTTGTCTGCCTCTCTGCTTGCCTCCCTCCAGGGCTTTATCCTGGGCAGAGTCTCCCGGTGAGGCTCACAGCAACAGCTCTGGGCACTTGTACTCCTCGGGGTCTCCCGGACCCCAGCACGGGGTCTGCCAGGCCTGCCCTGGCCTGCGTCATGGTAAAAGATAAACTGAGGCATATTAAAAATGTTAAGTTTAGGGGCGCCTGGGTGGCTCAGACCATTAAGCATCTGCCTTCAGCTTGGGTCATGATCCCAGGGTCCTGGGATCGAGCCCCGCATCGAGCTCCCTGCTCGGCAGGAATCCTGCTTATCCCTCCGCCTCTGCGTGCCACTCCCCCTGCTTGTGCGCTCTCGCTAACAAATAAAATCTTTTAAAAAAGTGTTAAGTTTACTTGAGCAAAAATCAATTCGAATCAGGCAGTACCAGTGGAACAGAGAGGAAGGCTCTCTCTGAGGAGCTGTTACACGCAGGAGGGAGCAGGAACCGGAAGTTATACTAGGCACACAAGCAGGTTGGCTATTGCAAGGCCACCTTCCTTTAGGGGAGGACAGGGGTCTGGCAGTCCCATTACTTGGCTAGTGCTGATCAGACTATTCCTGATTGACTGGTTTAGGATTCCATTTCTGGGAGCGCCGAAATTGTAGTCACGTCTCAGTGTGCTGACACGGAGCTTAGCATCAGCAATTCCATTTTGGGCCTGTTGTCCTGTTTTTTAATGGTCACATGGCCGGCCCAGAATTACTGGCTGGGTCAGAGGGGGTGCTTCTCTGGTCAGCCTCTGTGGCCTCCCATTCCCATCTGGAAACCTCGGCGCTAGGAGGTGGAAAATGGGTGGACAGCAAGTGGGTCTATCAGGGCTCTTGCCGCTTTGAAACTTGACTGCTGACCCTCAGCGGATTTAGCCCGGGACTCCTTTCCTTCCTCCCCAGTCACTCCCTCCAGGATCGTGTGGGAGCCTGTGGCTGGCTTCCACCTGATGGACGTTGGCAAGGACCATGGGAAGCCGCTCCCTTGGTTTGGTTACATTCTGCGGGGCTCTCTCTCAGTAGACTGGAGATTCTCCTCGTGGGTTTGATGAGCTAAGCTGCCATTTTGAGGGAGGCCCATGTGGCAGGGACCTGTGGACAGCCTCCGGGATTTACAGGTGGCTTCCAGATGACAGCCAACAAAACCTGGGGCCCTCACTCAGAACAGAGAGGAGATGCAGGAGGTTGGCAGGGGTCAGGACTCAGAGTCCATGTGTAAAACCCTATTATCCTCCTCACGTAGGGGAGCGAAACAGGGATTCTACTCAAGAACGGAGAGGTCTTTCCTGATTCCGCACCCAGGCCCCACACCAGATTCAGAGGCTGCTAACACGGAGGGTGGGAGCCCTGCAGGCCCGTGGGCAGGCTCATCTGCACTCACTGTGAGCGACATCAGAAACTCTGAGGGAGAAGGCAGGGGAAAGGTGGGAGTGGGGGTTCTCCCGTGCCAGGCCCTGCAGCCCAGCCGGGAGGGCTTCCTGGCAGAGGTGGAAGCAGAGGCCTTCCCATGAGCTGCCTGCAGCGGTTGGAGATGGCGCCACCCCGCCCTTGACCACTGCAGCAGCTCCTGGCTTCTCCACACTGCGGCGGTGGCTACTGAGCTTCCGCTCGCCTCCTCTGTGCTCGGAGTCCCCCATTTCCAAGTACTTCCTACCCAGAAAATGCTAATTCTTCTCCTCGTCTCGCTGAGGAAGGTCCTGCTCCTCTATATTCGGAGCTGAGATCTTCTAGGCTCCTGGCCCTGTGCACCTGAGAAGTGAGGGCTTCTCTCTTTGTTGCCATTTTCATAATTTGCTGACCCCGTCCCAAAGGCGAGCAGCTGCTTCCTATTTCCCAGGGCTGCCTTCCTCCCAGGGAGAGACTAGAACTTTCCTGGGGAAGTATCAATGCAAACAAGCAAATGGGCTCAGTCTGTCCCCAAAGAGTGGCATGAGGTGACGCTGATGCTGTTAACACAGCAGCAGCCCGGAGACTGGCCGGCTACCGTGGGAGCATGCCGTCAGGCGGTGCAGGTCCGGCAAGGCAGTGGTGGGACCACTGCCATGGGGCAGTGAGTCTGGGTGCCTGCTCCTCTCGCAGTCCCAGGACCAGCATGTGACCTGTTCCAATCCACGGAGCAAGCCCATTGGTGGGGGAGGCAGCGGGGATGCTTCTGAGCCATGACTGGGTCCCTGCCCACGTGAAGCTGCTAGAAAGCAGAGGACAGACATCCCAGAGCACCATGCTCCTCATGGTGGAGGGAACAGCTAGGGTGAAGCATCAGGAGCCAGGTTCTAGATGTCGACACCAGTCTCCTCTGCATGGACAGGTGCGCCTTCATTCAGCCGGCCATCTTCAAAGCGACCACCTCCAGACCATGAGGGAAACGCACAGAGAGAAATGCGATGCCCCGATGCAAATCCCAGTCCAGACCTACAGTACCTCCCCATGTCGCTCGATAGGGGCATGATAGCAGCTCAAGGTTTTCTGCAAAGATCTGCTAGCAACGAGGGATGTTTGGAAAGGACTGCCAACGGTCTTTAAGAGCTGTTTAGTGTTGGAATTAAAAAAATGGCACTTCATGAAGAAGCAATTCACCCCAACATTCAAGTGTCTTCTAGGTCCTTTCAGATTCTTGCAAGGGGGTGGGGGGCGGGCGTCACGGTGGTCTTAGGGGAAGGGCTTCACCGTGGAATCGGTGAAAGAAGTCTTTTCCAAATGGGCTTACTGGAAAAGCATGCCAGGCAGTAACCAAAAACAAGGTAGCCTGCAAAATGGATTTCTCTCATGGGAAGAGAGATCGGAGGGATTATCTCAGGTTTCTAACCAGAGGTGTTTGTGGTTACTGTATTTGCCCCACATGTGATTATACACTGGAACTCAGCTGGAAACCTCGGAGGGCCCTAACCATGAGGCGGGCAGGCAGTACAGAGAGACACCTGCCAGGGCTGCAGGATAAGTCAGAAGGGCCCCGAGAATGTCAGATTACTTCACTCTCCCCAACAGCTGGATTTTCAGAAGGGGTGAGAAGTTGGGGGAACCCAACTTGAAAAGAGGACAGGACTAGTCGGACTGGCTTCTCACCCCTCCCCTCAGACACACAGCACTTGGAAGACTCAAATTAGATGCTTGCTTTGTAAAGTTTATTGACAACTGTTTGGTCCCAACACACAAAACAGCACTTGAATCACAAAAAAAGTGTTCAAAAAAAGTAGACAGTTAAGAAAAACATCTCTTCCCCCAAGCCCGATCCGAAACAAACAGTGCAAGATGGGAAAGGGGGTTATGGTGATAACTTTTTGTCTTTTTTCTTTAAACAGATATATCTAATCTGGTACATCTTTCCACCCAGAAAGAATTTCTTTGACTTAATTCTCATACATCATTTCGTCACATCATTTAATTAAGCCTCTGGATAAAAAAATAGATAGCAATCAGACTGGCCATTGTGGAGTACATCACGGACACAACGAGCTCACGCTGTTATTTCTTTTCTTTTCTTCCAACAGTGACGGTTAGTTACACACACGTCCCAGACTGGCTGGCGACTCCAGCGAACGGTTGGGTTTGACCACACTCCCATGACAGCGTGCACCCGCAGGCTCTTCTTTGACGGTTGCCCAAAGAAACTGATCTGAGACTGTTCCTCATGACTTGTAATGGTACCTCTGACGTTTTTAAAGTCAATCCCACCCTAGGTGAGCAAAACTAAAGTCCAAGAGTGCAAACTCAGCCTTAAGAAGTCTCAGAATAAGGCAACTGAGGTTCTCGACACCAACCTTCTCACACTGGTTAAAAGCTTCTTAAAAAAAAAAAATTGCACATCTGCATTTGACTTCCTGCCGTACTATGTCTGTAGGAGAAATGCCTTCATTCGGAGAGGCTTCGCAGAGGGCCATACTGCTTGCAAGCTTTTCCAGGGTTGTTCCATCTCGACTGGGGGCCATGTGTGGAGAACTGGGAACCACTGGCTTCATCTTAAAGATTTTGGGGAACAAAAACCTGACTTGTAAAAATCTCTCTGGAGCCCTTGTTTTGTGGCATTTTATCAAAATGCTGGCTATGAAATCAGAGCCCATTTTCTGGCTTTCTAGAAATTACAAAATATAAACATTTTCCCCAAAACAAACCATCTCAGTAGTGGAAGACCTTATGCCAACAGGTTCTTTCTGCTCTATGAATGAATCCGCCTTTTTGCCCAACAAATACAACCCATTGTAAATGTCAGGTTTCTCCAAGAGGGGTGAGAGACCACCTGTCACCGGATGCCTCCGCCACCTCGAGGCGAAGGTCATTCCACAGGGCAGTGCTCCCTCAAAGGCTGGCTTTTCCCAAATGCCAACATCAGACACCACAAAAAAACCAAACATGCTTCCAACAGCGAGAAGTAACAGTAAAAGCAGACACTATTAAAAGACACTGAGCCCCCCCCCCCACCCACACACTCACACATAAAGCTTCCCAGCTACCAAAACCAGGTTTAAAATTACAAATATAAGGTTAAGATGATCAACCTTGGCCTTCACACGTAGAGATTGAATTTCTGTCTCTTCCTAGAGGAAAGAGTATCGATATCACTCCTGTTAAAGCACCTCGCCCCTCAGCTCTGATTTGTAATTTATGCATTTCATGCATATTTTAGAAAATCAGACTCTCTTCCCAACACTGCCGCTCGACACACAATACTGTGTGCTGGAATTCAAATGCTGACTTTAAATTCATGACACCAAGACCATCTCCTTTTCCTTAACCTAATCCATATCACACTGGAACGTAACATAAAAGGGAAGCTTAAAACATCCTCAACTTTCTAGAAAGCTCCCACATGGCACCCCGAAGCGGAAACAGTGTTAAAAAAATTTGTGATGAAGCCACATTTGTCAACTACAGACATAGTTCAATAAAACAAACAAGGCACGCTTACAAGTCACATGGAAGCCAGGAAGCTTCATATCCAGCCCGAAAATACATTCTCCCCGCCTCACCTGCCCTTCTGCTTCCGTATGGGAACGCGCAGGGCCGCGGAGCAGGCTCTGCGGTATCACACACCATGCACTTGATTCGTACTGTCTGGAAACACCAGTAAGCAAAGGCTGAGAGGCTACCTTATGCTACGTGTAAGATTCTACCACGGATGTGGCTTTAATGGCAGTAAAACCACTCCCTTCTAGCTGAGGTCTCACTGCTTTCTCCTTACGGAACACCATTACATTTCAGAATAATTAAGAAAAATTTGGTAAGCTGTATTAAGGATTCCTTAACAGATGCCAGGAGGTTTTTGGGGTTTTTGTTGTTGTTGTTTTTTTGGTTTGTTTTTCCAAATAATTAGAGGAGGAGAAAAAGAAACACTTCAGCTCTAAAGCTGTGTTCAATGTAAAAGAAACCAAACGTTATGGGATACATCTGAAGATGAACTGGCTTCTAGGGGGTTTGCATTCAAACGGAAAAGGCTGTGTTTTTCGAACCCACTTTTGTGTGCAGAATCAGACAGTGTTTCCCCATCCTAATTCTATGTTCAAAACGCGAGTCAAAGCTTGGTTATAGGTGCAAAGGAAAAATTGGCTGCCAATTTTACTCTATTTTTGGGTTGCTTTTTGGCTGGGCTTTCCACGGGGTCCTTGCTGGGCAGTGACTCTGAGGTTTCTGAGGAGGGGCAGGGAGGCACTGGGACAGCTGCTGAGATGCCAGAGAAGCTGGAGTCCAAGGCTGGGCTGTTGTTCTTTACTGGTACTGGAATTTCAATTTTCTCTTCTTGGTTTAAAATCATAATTTCTGTAAACACCAAAAAGCAAACACATTCAGTTCTAGGACCTGCAAGACGTGTGGGGTTTTTAGTTTCTCCCTCGTATCATCTCAAAAAATATTTTTAAAAATCACCCACCAAACATCACGCCCATGCTGCAATTTACATATCAGCTATGTGGCCAACACGTCATGTGAGTCAGATATTTAGAAATAAATGGCGCCTCAGCTCTCTCTCCCTGGGATTACAGTTTTAGGAAGCTTCACTTTGGGCTATAACTCAACAGGCAACAGTGCAGAAGCATTTTTTCCCCAGTTTGGATTCTCTGCCCATTCACTGTGTCAGGTCGTTAAAGACCCACGAGCCTCATGGGACCTAACGACTTTCCCACGAGGAGGGGTCTCAGTGTCAGGAAGCCCCAGCGCATTCCGCTGACGGAGGGCTGTGTCCTGCGTGGATCTAAGGCGGACAGAGACAGGGAGAGAAGTGCACAGAGGCAGTGAAACACAGCCATTTTTCCTGCAGTGTTTACAGGCTGCTCTTTCTCTGGCCGAGCCCTGAGTACTGGGCCTGCTGCAGGCGAAATGCACCAAAGCCGCAACCCCACGGGCGCACTGCTATCCGTCTCGCGCCGGCTCCCGCCGTGCCTCCTAGAGGGGCACACTCCTGCTTCTTTCACACGTTACTCTTCCAGTGGCAGGTTTCCCTACCTCCTACTCTCCCGATAAACAGCCTCAGTTCTTTCACTGGGCAACACGAGGCTGTCCCTGGCTTCCCCCTGGCAACAGTAAGTGGAGTGGAGAAGAACCCATTATGGCAGATGAAGGCGACAGAGAAGGTGCCTCGACAGAGCAGATGGGCCACCTCTCCGGAGGTCAGGTGATACAGCAAGACAAGGAGCCTGGGGTTCAAATCTCAGCTCGGCCACTTCCAGTCCGGCAGCCTGGGGCCAGCGTGGTCGCTGGTGGCAGGCCAAGCTGTGCCCTCCATCGCCTGCCCTGCAGGGCTGCGGTGAGATGAGGTGTGAGTGTGCCTGGGAGCCCAAGTGCGGGGCCGGCACCAGGCGGTGCTCGCCGCAGCCAGTTTCGCATCCCTCCTCAGCTCCCCGTGCAGGGTCCGGAGCTCAAGTCACAGATGGCCCTCCCTCCCCTGCTCATACCCCTCACGAGGCCCCGACCTGGAGCCATCATTCACCTCTAGGCCGGACCAGAGCTGCCATGCACGCACGTGGGGTACCGGGTGTGCCCACGAGCTGCTGCACCTTTATGCAGGCAGGCAACACAAGCCCGGGAAGCCCTCCACACACGCCTCTGTGGGCTTCACGGCCCAGCTGAGTCATCCCTCCAGACCTGCCGTTGTTCCCGGGCTGGAGGCTCCCCAAGCCAACCCGGGCTGTGAACCCAGCTTTGCAGGAAAACTGACTGGAAGAGAGTGTCCTGAATAATCGGCGCAGGTATACTTGTGCCTGAAAATATAGTTTCTCCCCACCTCCGTCAAACTTTTCCCTTACCGGCATCGTGCTTTGATTTTTTAACCCAGAGAGAAAACCCCCGCGACCACAGTGCATCCTACCAGAAGGCTCTTGAGGGTGTTCCTCAAACTGAATGAGATCAGCAGATTGGAGGATGACAGGATCTGGTCTCAGCTGAGGGGACGGCAGGCACGAAGGGACGGGTGCACACAGAAGGTCCACAGGGGAGTCGTTGGTCAGGCGGAGAAGCTCCTGCTCTATCTGGTGGGGCCCTAGACAGAGAAGGCAGGTCGGGGCTCGACTCAGGACAGCAGTCTATCACAAGTCTGTGCCTGAGGCTGTCTCAGCCTTCAAGATGAAAAAGGCCAGGAAGTACTCAAGAACTCAAGGTTAACAACAACAACAACAACAAAAAAGCCGTTAACAGAAAGGTCTGGATCACTCTTTGGTAAATGAAATGCCACAAGCCAGGATCTCCTGATTTGTGTTCTCAGGAACAGCAATGCCCCAAGGGGCAGAAGCCAAAAAAAAAAAATGTTTCCACAATCAGCATCCAAAGAGGGGAAATAAGTCCTTGGAAGGGGTATAAAGTAGTTAAAATGAGTAAAAGCTCTGAATCCTAAGACATGGGCCCCAGTTCTATCACTCCCTCACTAAATGATCCTGGTTAAGCTCTTTAACCTCCTGGAACTTGGGTCCCTCATTCGGAGACGGGAGGTAACTTCCCTGTAGGCTGTGCTGACAGCTGAGGGCGGGAGCTCCATTCCCATGCTTTATAAAACGTGAAATGTGTCCTCCACATACAGGCCACAGTAACACTTCCAATTAGTGATTACAGAGTCATACAAAGATAAAAGTCTCATATGCAGCAATGGATTCAAAAGTCTTTCAATAAAGTTACAAATTGCTACAGAGCTCAAATTAGTCGATTTCTATCTACAAAGGAGGCTCCACATAAAATCTGAGTGGATTGATGTTGTTTTGCATATTATTTATGCATTATTACCAAGTCTCTCCCAGGGAGGCCCTGTGACAAAGACTCTCTCCATCCAACTTGAGCCTGGCCCTTTTGTGTCCTCTTCTCCACTAGGCCTTGACCTTGGCCTTCTGTGTCTATCCGGTCCTTACCAAACCCAGTCTTAGGCATCTTGGGAAGTCAGTTCTTCGAGTACTCCCCACCTCTGCTCTCTGACCAAGGCCCTCAATCCTCCACCCCTGATGTCTTCCACTGGGTGATATGCCCCCCACCTCTCCCCTCGCTCTGCTCCTTGATGAAAACATCCCCGTTCATCCTTGTACTCAGAGTTGACTTCCATCTCCCTCCCTGTGTGCAGCAGAGTTGACCCTATTGCAATAGTCTTAAAATACTGCTTAACAAATGTCAGAAAAACTTTTTCCTCTGAAGTCTGAACTGGGCTGACATATTGTCATTACAGGGGTGTCAACATCCTTCAAGAACCTGAACCAGGAACCATAAAATGCTATGAAATGCAGGCTCATTTTTCTGTTACCAACCGAACACCAGACTGCTTTGGAGAATACATGAAGATGGCCCACTGTGGTCCTTGCCCCCGCCCACTCCCAGCCCACACCCCACCAGTTCTTCGAGAATTTCGCAAGCTTGGCTGTCTTGTGCCTTGCTTACCATCGCTGCCTGCTTCAAGTTCAAGTTCCACGGCTGTGCGAGATTCGGGCACCTCCGAGAAGCACTCTGTGGCCAAGGGCTGGTTTTCAGGATGGGTGGGGGCAAGCCCAAGTGAACTCAAACGACCTGGGGGACCAAGAGCAGCCGTCAGAAGGAAAAGTCAGTGAGAGAACCGGGATTTCTGAAGCAGGGAGGGGATGGGTGCTTACTTACTTTTCATGTCATTTTTTAACACTACAATTCTCTTATGACCATGTCCTTTTATCCAGACCACCTGCACACAAGACATACTACTGGTTAAGCAGTGGAAAAGGAGGGGAAATAAACCCTAAATCCAGGAAGAATGGGACCTGTTGCACTGACCTAAATATATTAGAAGTTAGAAACTAATGCCAAGGAAAATTTTTCTATACTTTCTTTAGCTTCTAAAGTAATAGAAGCTGGCAGAGACACGCCTCTTACAAGAAGACGTGTAGTCTAAAAATGGTGAGACTCAGCTTTAAAAATATTCTTTAGGGCTCTCAGAAAGACCATCTCCCCAACACAAGTTCTGGTCTGTTAAAGGAGACAGTTCTCACACAAGAGTCCTTCCTATTTTCTCCAGAAACTAAATATACCCTAAGAGAACTAATGGGGACCTTCCAGACCCCTCAAACTAAGCTCCTGGTCCTAATCCTGAAACAGAGTCCTCTCTTCAACTCCTCAGCCAAGCAAGAGTGGGAGCAGAGGCCCCTGGCTCCCAGCACTCCCCCACATGCGTCTGCACTGAGTCCCAATCTCAGCCTCCCTGGGTCCTTCACTGTCTCTTGCATTACTTTCAAGAGGGTTCGGTCTCGTTATCACTCTCACCTGGGCTCCGGCCATGGCAAAGGTCCTCACCAAGCTCCCTCCACCCCTCCTGCTACTCTGGACACAGCAGTGACACTGGTGCTTTTCACACACAAACCTGAGGCTCCCCACTTCTCTCCTCCAGGTCCTTCTGCTCACCCGGAGGAGCAAGGCCCTCTTTAAGTGAGCTCTCATTGCACTGGTAGGTCCCTGCCTGGTTTTTAATGCCCTCAACGTTCCACACTACTTGTCACTGCTTTGCATCTGCTTATGCAATCTCCTCTGCCCAGACTGTCCCCTCTTCGTCACATGGTTCATGTCTATAAATCCCTGACATCTCGGCTCTGGAACAAACCTCGAGCCTGGGCATGGGCCCTGCCCGTGGCCCTCCTCAGGGTACCCATGGAGGGCTGCGCTGACCACACTGCCTCGTCACCTGCCAGGTGCCCTGACTGTCCATCACCTGACACCTTTCTGAGGAAGGGGCTACAACTTACTCACCTGGCATATACGGATTTAATAAAGGCTTGCACAACCAAGCAGAAACGCTAGAATCATTCCTTTAATGCCAACAGTACATTTTTCAAAATGCCTGCCATTTCATTAGCCTGGCAGCATTTCATGACTGTGTTCAGGAGAGTGAGCCTGGGGCTCTCCAGGAAGATACTCTCCAAGAACCTCCGAGAATACCCACCTGAGGGATTGCTCCCAAGAGCTCTTCCACACTACTGTAGCCATAGGTCTTGGGTTGCAGTGTTTCTCCGACATACTTGGTATAGGCCATGGAAAACTCATGGAGAAAAAGCTGCTGGTAGTGGTAAGTATGAAGTAAAGACCGCACGTTCTTGGCAAATAAATATAGGTTCGTGAGCCTCACACACTCCTCTGTCTTATCATTAGTGAAAACCTGGTTCAAGAGAAAAACATAGCATTAGAGACTTCCAGAGTGGGACGCCTGGGTGGCTCAGTTGGTTAAGTGTCTGCCTTCGGCTTGGGTCATGATCCCAGGGTCCTGGGATCAAGCCCCATGTCTGGCTCCCTGCTCAGCGGGGAGCCTGCTTCTCCCTCTGCGCCCCCCCGCTTGTGCGCACGCACTTGCTAACAAAATCTTAAAAAAGAAAAAAAGAAAGAAACTTCCATGGGGCGCCTGGGTGGCTCAGTCGTTAAGCGTCTGCCTTCGGCTCAGATCATGGTCCCAGGGTCCTGGGATCGAGCCCCACATCGGGCTCCCTGCTCAGC